TTTTTTTCTTTCTTACTTGCATTTTCTGTTTTTGCTTGTCAACTCTTAGTGTAATTTTATTTTAATAGACAGAAACTTTGGAACTCACCCACGGATATATATATATCATTTATTTGGTGGAAAATTAAAGTAATATGTCAGATGAAATTAAATTAATTTTTTTAAAATAAATTCGAAGAGATTGAAGATAGTGAAACTAAATAAATAAATTGAACTCTCACAAAAAAGTAAAAATTCATATAATCAACCAATTGAGATACTAAAATTAAATCGGCATTATTTATTACATTTAAATCCACAATTTAATTTTAATTATTTAAATTTTAGTCATTAATTTATTTTTTGAGATTTTCAATTTTAACCACCCAATTCTTAATTATCAAATATGTTTTATTTTTGTTTATTCTATAACCACTTAATGTATTTGAATGCTTTATATTAATAATAATGTATTAATGATATCAAGCACTCAATTATCTTTTCTTTTTCATATTTGTTAAATTCTCTACTTCTGTGGCATGTATCCAATAATTATTGCTAATATTAATTTTTTGTGTTTCTTGTTCAAGATTTTTCTTTTTAAATTTTCTTTATGTTAAGTGTTTTAAAATGTGAAACAAAACTTTTACAGATTTATTTTTTCTCGTGTGTTGAAAAAAAGAGTCAACCAAATAAATTTGTGAAAGCATAAAATAGTAGCAGTATGAATATATTTTTTTGCACTAAGAGGTAGGACTTAAAAAAAAATATAGAAACATTGATTAAAAAAGGGTGCAAAGATAAAATAGAAAAAGGGTTTTGCAAAGTAAAAAAAATGCAGATAAAGTAAAGACTAAATTTTGAGAAAATGGAAGTGAAAGAGAGAGAGTGTGTGACAACAAGAAAAGGGCCCACAAAAACACTTGTCAAAAGGAAAGAGTGTCCTCACACAACTATTGTTGGTTGTGCCTCAACCACAATAAATTTTTTAAATATGATACAATTAAGACCTTTTTTGAATCGTCCAAATCATAATACTTTATTATATGAATATATGTTAATCGAAGATGAACAAACTATGGTAATTGATTTACAATACCAATGCCCACCATTAATGTTGACAATAATTTTCAAATATCATTTTTTATTTTGAAAACAAAAACTACTTTTTCCCTCCTATTTTCACAATAATATGACTAAACAGGTACAATAGGCATTTATAGCTTGGCACCCAAGTATCAGAGCGATGGTTCAGTTAAAGCGTCTTAGCAATCATATAGCAGATTAGAATATGTGTTCAATTACGTTGGGCCGGAGAGGTATCATTTGAATCAGCAGCCAGTTGAGCCCAAAGATAAGATTAAACTAGAATTAGCAAGGGCCGCGCAAACGCAGGGCCCTCATCAGCAAATTCTAGTAAGGATTGTTCCCATCAACCTTTAAAAAGGTCTCCAGACCTGGTGTGCTTCGCGATTGCGAGGATTGCAGAGGCGAGACCCTGGTCGCGAAAGCGAGACCCATTATAGGAGTACTAAAAAAAGATTCTTTAAAATTGTGAATTCAACTTTTATATAACATTAAAATAATTCACTTTTATTCTAACTATGCAGTATAACTTTTTTACTAAGACGATTGACTTAGATAACTCTTTCCCTTAACCTTGTTTTGCCATTAATTTAGATGTGAAAATCATTTATAAAGCTCTCTTTTCAACTTTGAGCTATAGACATTTCTCCTCACATTTTAAGTACATGTCTATATTATGCTTTACCTTATTAATCCCCAACACATGAGTAATTTTTTATTGTCTTAGTATTAGAAACGCAGTGATCCTTAAAAGAGAAACTAATTTTTACTAAAAATTTCTTTATTTCATAATTTTTAAAATTCAAGACCTTTTATTAAGGATGAAGGAACTTCATATGTATCTCACATTACTTGATGTTTCTTAAATTATGAGTTATGAACTCACTCAAAGCATAAATATAATATAGAGATCCTTTTAAAATCATCATTAGTTACATATTTTTTTCTATTAAGTATTTATGTTGCCCTCTATTTTTATTATCGAAATTTATAGATAAATTCTAGTTTGAATTGGCATTTATACTTCCTCTATCATTTTATGAGATAGATCTTTTGTTTTAATCTAACTATAAAATGATATCTCTTTTTACAAAAAAACTATTTAATCTTATATTATACCTTCACATAAATGGGGGGGGGGGGGGGGGGGGAGAAAAAAAACAAAAAATAGAG